CTTAACCTTTATAACACACGCTATAAATCACAGTGATTCGCACACTTTACTTACGGTGCCTACTGTTGCTTGACTCAATTATCTATCACTTCAATATCCATCTATATCTCTTCAATCAATCATCTCGCAGGCTTTATCTGCCAGGCTTATATACTAAAAAAGGGGGCGTCCCGAACGCACTAAAAAAATTCATGATCTTTCGAGAAATTCATCATGTGTTACCAGCGTCACGTGGCTTCCACTGTTGTAACACTGCCCCTTCCTTAGTATTATTCGTCCCGAACAATATCCACTTACATTAAGCCAATAGATAATTAACAATAACTTAATCAAATGTACAGAATTTACAAACACCAAATTAAAATACAACAAAGTTTTTTAATTTTACAGGACGTATCTTCTTCCGTACTGGTCTCTGTCTCATTGGCTTCTGCTTCACATGGGGTTCATCTGCTCCATTAGGAAATGTTCCATTATTAGTTACAGTCACATCAGTGGTAGTAACTTCATTAACGGCTTCACTGTTTTCCTTCTCAAAACCGGGTCGAGTTTCTTCTTCGACAGTGGCTTTTTCAGGTGACACGTCTTCAGCAGCGTCATTTGTTCTGTTGTTCACTTTGTTCCAACTGAAATGTCCTGGACCATGATAATGCCAAAGCCTGTTGGCATGCACTACCTTCGGCTTACCTTGCCGACCACATTTTATCTGGAAAGTCACGTCTGAGAAACGATCTACTATGTCATATAGGCCTTCCCATGGAGATGACAACTTAGGAGACTTCCCTTTGGTCTTCCTGGGATTATAGAAGTACTCCTTGTCTCCTGGTACAAAGCTGACTTCAGTAGATCTCTTATCATAACATAGCTTCATGGAATCAGCAGACGTTTTCAAGTTTGAATGCACATGATGATGAATATCATCCATCATTTCAGATAACACTTTCACGAACTCTGACACATTTTCAGGCAAATCTTCGTAAGGTGGGCATCCTGTTAACAGGTCCACTGGCAACCGAAGTTTCCGACCAAACATCAGCTTTGATGGAGTGTATCCAGTGGCTTCATGCTCTGCTGTTCAATAGGCCATCAACAGTGGAGAGGGTAAGCCATCCTAGTCATCTTGGCAGCTATTAGTGTACTTTTCTACCATCCCATCAGACTGTGGGTGAAGTGGTGTTATCCTGGTCTTTCGTATGCTAAGTAACTTGCAACATTCATGGAACACAGCTGGTCAAAGTTATGGCCTTGATCTGAATGCAGTTCATATGGCATACCAAAT